TCGGGAGTTTCACGGCTTTGAAGAAAGGTAACCCCTTATCCGAGGCCCTGGAGATGAACCTCGAGAGGGCTGCCATTCTTCCGGTGAGCCGCTGAACATCCCTTTTTGTTTTTGGCTCGGAAAGATCGAGCGCTGCCTGCACCTTAGCGGGATTGGCGTCAATCCCTCTTTTGCTGACCATGAACCCAAGGAATTTCCCAGACTTCATGCCGAAGACACACTTCTTCGGATTCAGCTTCATTTGGTGCTTTCTTAGAGTGGCGAAAGTTTCCGCCAGGTCCTTAACATGGTCTTCATCTTTTTTGCTTTTGACGATTGAATCGTCAACGTAGACTTCCATGTTTCGGCCCTTTTGCTCGCCGAAAACTTGGTCCACCAGCCTTTGATATGTTGCCCCCGCATTTTTCAATCCGAAGGGCATCATTATGTAATTGTACACCCCGGCGTTCGTGACTAATGCCGTCTTTGCTCGGTCATCGAGGTGCATGAAGATCTGATGATATCCAGAAAATGCGTCCATGAAACTAAGCAAGGCATGACCACTTGTCGAGTCGACTAGCTGATCGATCCTTGGCAAGGGATAGAAATCTTTCGGACATGCCTTATTTAGGTCCGTGAAGTCAACGCACATTCTCCAGGTGCCATTTGCCTTCTGAACCATCACCACATTGGCCAGCCATTCTGGATACTGACAGGGTTTGATGAAGCCTGCATCCAGTAACTTTTTGACCTCGGCTGCGATGTCTCGGTTCTTGTTTGCGGAGTAATTCCGCTTCTTTTTCTTAACTGGCCGACACATCGGGTCGACGTTAAGCTTATGAGAGATGAGGTCTGGACTTATCCCGGGCATATCAGCTGCCGAGAAAGCAAACACATCTCGGTTGTCCCGAAGGAGTTGGATGAGCTCAACGCGGACTTTCGGATCAAGGTCCAGCCCGATTGTAACGCATCTTTCGGCGTCTCCTTCGGTCAACTCGACCGTTTCGGACTGTTGGTCCAGCTCCATTGCCACGGGGCTGGACTCTTCGTTTTCTGGCCTGCTGTCTATGTCAGCAGGGGTCCAGATTTTTTCTTCTTTGGCTGGCTCTCTGAGTCTTTCGGCTCAGATGATGAGCTAACCTTTTCTTTTCCTGGCCCTTTTTCTTTGGCCAGGTCTCCTTGAGCCGAAGCACTTAGGCCTTTCGGCTTCTTCGCGCTCGGCTGCCTGTCTTTCTCCTCCTCATCCTCGTCGTCATCTTTTGAATGACTAGTGTATGGCTTGAGGCAGTTGCACCTTCGGGCCTCCTTTTGGCTGCCCTCGATCCTTTCGGGGTAGCCGGCATCCGAGACATAGATCATCAGCTGATGGTATGTCGAGACTACCCCTTGGATCTCGTGAATAATGGGTCTCCCCATGATCACGTTGTACACAGAAGGAGCGTCGATGACCAGGAATTCGGTTATGACGTTCCTGGTTGCCTCATCACAGCCGATGGTGACAGGAAGTGTTACCTTTCCGTCTGTATAAGTTGAAACCCCATTAAATCCGGATACTGGGTAGGGTACCGACATGAGGTGCTTGGGCTTCAGCTTGATTTGATTGTAGGCCTTTCGGAACAAAATGTTTGCTCCGCTGCCACCATCAACAAGAACCTTGCTGACGTCGTGGTTGGCCACCATGGCGATAATCACCAACAGATCCTCGTGAGGGTATGTCACCCCCCCGACAGTCGGCGGATGTGAACGTCATGTTCGGCACCTGCGACTGGGGAGGCTGAATGCTAGCATTGTTCACATGGTGGGTCAGATCCCTAAGGTGACATTTGTGCTCCCTCAGAGAACATATTCCTCCCGAAATAACGTTGATTGGAGGAAATTTTCCCTCCGAATTTTTGTTGTTCTTCCGGGGGAAGTCGAGTTCTTGCCGAGAGTCCTTTTCGGATTTCTCAGCCTCTTTTTTCTCGCGGTGATCCACGATGTATTTTTTCAAATATCCCCTTCGGACCATATCCTCGATTTGGTCCTTCAGCTGGATACATTCATCAGTGTTGTGTCCCGGCGATTCGTGGAACTCACACCACTGATTCTTATTTTTGCGCTAATACCACTCTGGGAGCGGTCTTGGCTTCCTGTAACTCCACTCTTCTTTCGTCACGTTGTAAATTTTAGCGCGTGGAAGGGCCAGCGGAGTATAGGATTCTTACCTCCCCGTGAAGAGAGCAGATTTTTCCTTCTTCGGCTCGCTGACTGAAAATTGTTCGGAGGCTTTCGCCTTCCCTTTCGCCAGCTGGCCTTGGCCTTCGGACGAATGTTTTTGCTTCCCACCCCCCGATTGGGGCTGGGATTTTGTTTTGTTCCACTCTTTGTGTCGGATGAATTTATTCGAGGCGTTCAGAGCCTCCTCCAGGGTCTGCGGGGTATGCATGACCATGAAGTCAAAGAACTTTCCAGGCTGAAGGCCATTCTTCATTGCAAAAACGGCCAGCCCTTGGTCCAGCTGAGACACGCTGGATGACTCGTTGCTGAAACGGGTCAAGTAGTCTTGGAGACTCTCGGTCTCCCCTTGCTGCAGGCCCATGAGCTCTGCAATGGTTTTCTCTCGGCGGTTTTCCGTGGAGAATTTGCTCTTGAACTTGGTGGACAGGTCGTCCCACCCCGTTATAGAGCTTTCCTTTACTCCCTTGGAGATCCACGCTTGTGCGACCCCCTTGAGAGTGGTGGGAAAATATTTGCAACAGGTCGCTTCGGACCTGGGACAGAGATGCATGTGCCCCTCGTAAGAGGCAATATGGTCCTTCGGATCCGAAGTCCCATCGTATGTAATGTGTGACGATATTTTAACCGTCGGCACATGCTCTTCCAGAATCCATTGCTCGAATTGAGAACTGGTAGGAAGCATCACGGCCTTGCCCTTATTCCTGGCCGAAGGGACCGCGCTCTGCCCTCTTAGAGAGGTAGGAGTGGTTTTCGTCCCTAGCTGGGAAGTTCGGGCCTCGGCTACAGGGAGCGAGAGGCGGCTATGCACACTCGGATCCCTGCCGCTGAGTCGGTCGAGGACGCTTCGGCGGACAGTCCTTGGCCGTTCTCGACGAACAATTTCTGGCCGAGAGGCAGAGTTGCTGCTTTTGTGAGTTTCTGGCCGAGAGGTAGAGGATCCTTTGAAAAAATGAGGGTTCTTTTTCCTCTCTTTTTCAGTCCTCCAAGTGTCCTCTTCCCACTCTTCCAGCTCCCTGAAGGAGGGAGGTTTCTCCCCCTCATGGTCGAGTTTCCTCCGCTGATGCCTGGTATGCGGAGGAGTTCGGTCGCGAGGTGGAGGCATATTTTGTGCCCTCATTGCTTCCATTAGCACCGCCAACGCTCTTGCCACCTCTTCCGAGCTAGGCCCCATTAAAGGGGTCCTTGGCTGAGTGTGGGAGTGAGAGTGGACGGTCAAAGGTCTGCTTTGAGGCACTGATTGAGTCCTACGATCGGACTGACTTTTGTTAGACCGAGGAGGACTCAGTCTATGATGAGATTGGTGAATTATGGGAGAAAGAGAATCCTCCCGGTATGCTCCTCCCGAACTGGCACCCTTAGAGGAGTTCCGGTCCGGAGAAGGTGATGGAGTAGGAGTAGGAGGGTCCGAGGGCCTTTCGCCTGCTCCTTGACTCACTTGCTTGTTCTTGCGGTTCTTAGCCATTGCTACTAAGATTTTTGCAAGATGATTTTAATCGGCTTAAAGATTTTTTGAAAGTCTTCCCCACAGACGGCGCCAAATTGTTTCGGGTGAAAACAATGGGACCTTGCCGAAGGTCCAACGAAGTGGATGAAGACTGATCCGGTCCAAGTAATGCTGGGCCGAAGGTTTCCTGCACAGCAAACACACGTAAACTGGCCTCGGGGTGGATTCGAGGAAGACCCCTCCGATGCCAAAGTCAAACAGTGCTTAGAAAGAGAAAGCTATGCAAGAGAGTTAATGCTTGAGGCTTTTGTTGTGAATGAATCATAAATGGTGAAATTGAAGGCTTTTATACCTTAGCATGACAAAGGGAGGAGAATGACTGGGCCGGATCTAATCGTGGGCTGACCATGACAATTTGGGCCGCTTGACCTTATGATGACTTGGCTTAATGGAGGCTTGGGCCTTGACCTTCTAATATTGGATCATTTAATGACTAGGCCCAATTGGCTTAATTGGACCCAAACATATATATATATATATATATATATAAAATTATACAAATGTAATTTATATACTAGTAAATATATGGTTAGGTAGATCAAAGCTAGTGTATAATAGTGAGAAAGTAAATTTTTTGCTATGAAAAATGTAGGAAAAAAATATATGTATTGAACTATTTTATTTTATATAAAGCCTCGGCCCCCTCGTGGTTTAATTCTTTGCTTCGCCCTTGGATACGAGTATTATTTTTAATAACTAAACTTTTTTTTTAAGGAAAAATAAGTAAAACTTTTGAAGTTTTAATAGAGCATCATGGTTAGCAGTATTAATTAGGACAACCATTAAAAGTTCACCAAAATTCCAATTTTAAAAACTCGTGACTCACCTATATTTGCTTGGTTCACAACTTTACATGCTTACCCATGGTAAATGACTTACTTTGTGAAAAAAATAATCCTTAAATTCTTCCCTCAAAAACCTATCTTTTTTTTTTAATCAATAGTCATAATCAGATACCTAAACCATAAATCTATTATTTGGATGATAGTTAAAATAATCCATTTTAAGGATAGTTAACAATAATCCATTTTAAGGATAGTTAACAATAATCCATTTTAAGATTTGCTCTCTATTTGAATGGCCCTACTCATGTACTGTCATCTTCCACTCTAATTATAATACAGAATTAATAAAATTAACAACTTGCCCAGAAATTTGATGATTTTACCTCTTACCAAACCAATAATAAATTTTAAATTATAATTTTCTAATGATTTCCTTCTTCCCTGTTTGGTTAGATAACATAAATAAGAAACTCAATGGTCCAAAATCTTTGAATAACAATATAATTTGGCAACAAAAAAAAAAAAAAAAAAAAAAAGGGAGTTTTCTAGCTCTAATCAAACAGGACCCACAAAGCTCAACAACACTTTTTGCTCTTTCCTCTTTTCTACAAAGAAAAAAGCTTCAATCTTTCTATCAGAAAATCCCTAATTCTGCAGAAAAAAACAGCATCATTTCATGTTTCTCTCTCTAGAATTTATTCCTTTCCTCTCTCTAGATTAGAAATATCCATTGATTTCTTGTCTGTTATTGTTGATTTTTTTTCTTAAATTGGGAAAACTCTTTTTCACTGCTGTGGGATAATTTTCTCAGGTCGGTGAGCTTTTTGACTGAATTGGAGGAGACTTGCTTGTTCCCAAGGAGGATATTTAACAAATATTTTGGCTTTTGGGTCTGCTAAAAAGCTGAGGGATTTCAATTTTAGGGTAAATTTTCTGGGTTTTATTTCCTCTTTGAAGATTTTGATTTATTTTTGTTCATTTTCAGTTTGAATTCGGGCTGGTAGTTCTCAATTGATTGCAATTTCTGGCGATTTGGGATTCTGGGTATTTGAAATTTTCAGGTTTTGTGTTTAATTTTTGTGTAATTGGGTTTCAGTTTACTACTAGATTTGAGGGTTTTGATTGAGGGTTTGTTTGTTTGATGAGTGAATGGTGTAATTGGGGTTTGATTGAGGGGTTGTTTGCTTGGTAATTCAATGGGGTGATTGGGTTTTTTCGATTAAGGGGTTGTTTGTATGGTGATTTAATGGGATAATTTGGGGTTTTTTTAGGGTTTGATTGCAAATTTTGTGGATAATTGGGTTTTGAGCAAGGTAGTGAGTTGATTTAGAGGAATTTATAGAGAAGTGGGGAAAGAAGATGAAGAGAGGGAAAGATGATGATAAAATGATGGGACCTATGTTTCCAAGATTACATGTCAATGATACAGGGAAAGGAGGTCCAAGAGCACCACCTAGGAATAAGATGGCTCTCTATGAGCAGCTTACAATACCATCCCAACCGCGGTTCAATTCCGGTGCTCATCACAATAGCAACAACACTATGGCTCCTTCTACCTCAACGATGCAGGTGAGGTTCTATGGCTCTTCAAATCATATATATGTCGGTTCTCATATATATTTTGATGTTGATTTTTTGTGCTTTAATTAATTGTAATGTTGCTGCTGTGCTCATTCTTTTTCTTTGTGGATTTGTTGTGCTGTAGTTGATTGAAGTGTTGTTGCAGTGCTCCTGTTCTTAGTAGTTATTTCGTGTTAATTGGAATATATGGACCTTGCATTTGGTGTGCCCAAGACTTGACTGTATTTATGTCAACGTGTGGATATAAAGTATGTGTCAGTAAACAGCTGAATGCCACAGGTATAGAGATATAGGTATCCTTGCGTTTCTGAGCTGCCTGAACAAAGAAAGGTTAAGTAGAGTGGGAAATGAATCTTGTAGGGTCGGGGGTGTGGGAGGGGGATTCAGAAACATAAACATTTTAATTAGCTAATGTGAAGCACTGAAGCATTCCTTATCCTCGATTGACTCGGTTGAATACTTGAATGACTATTGTTATCTCTAGCTTACCAACCTATTTTATACAACATATTACCTCCGTTTCATATTATCTGCAACAAAGTGACCTTGCACAATTCCCAAGTCAAAATTTCTTAAGTAAAGATTAGTAAAGAAAGGGGCAAGTGATTAATCGGATGAGAAAGAAAGTTACCTCCACCAGCACCAACCCCACCAACATCCACCCAATGAAACCACCACCACCACCAACACCCACCTTCGCCCGGAGCCACCTACTCCACCTCCATCTCCCCCGACACCCCTTCACCCTCGGCGACCCCCAACCCAACCTTGTAAACTACCATTAAACCACATACCCCACGCTCTCAAAACCATTGTATGGACCCACCTTGAAACCATCTCCCATCAAGAAAAACCCACCACCATAAAACCCATCCCTTTTCGAGAAAAAACCACCCAACAACATAAATATTTGAAGACAAAGCTTAAAAATGGTATATTATCACCTTCTAATCATCATTTAGGGGTTTATTTCTAGAGATTTCATGGTCAAATTTGACCAAAAATCCTCAAGCTTTAGTGGTTTTGACCATAACATCGTCGACGATTTCGACTCGGGTCAACATGTCACGCGTGCGCGGGTAGTGAAATTTTCACTCCATTGTGAATGAAAAGAGAGAGGAGTTTCGTGGTGGTCGGAGGAGTTTGGTGTCCTGAGTCCGGAGGGAGCAGTGGTGGTGGTGGTTGTTGGTGAAGTTTGAGGGAGGAGAGAGAAAGATGAATAATGAAAAGTCTATAAGATGATGAGTTGAATTGGTGATTGAATGGTGGTAGTTGGGGGTGGTTGATTTAGTTTGAGGTTAATTAATTTGTGTTTGTAATTTAATCAAGTCTCGTTTGGTCTTTTAATTCTGATTTGAAAATTTTAAGTAAGGATAATATAGTAATATCATACAAAAAATTTTACTATAAGAGGAAAGTTTTGGTTTGTTGCACATAAAGTGTAGCATCCATTTTTGGAAAATGTTGCAGATAATACGAAACGGAGGTAGTAATTAGTTTTGTGTGATTGATTTGGTTATTCTTGCAGCAATTCGCTTGCTATTTTTATTTGATAGTAGAAAGCATACTCCTTAACCCTTGTAGGCTTGTAGCCATGTAAGAATTTTGAATGTATTATTAAGAGGAACTTAGACTTTCCTGTTTTAGAACTCCTATGTTTTTAAAATTTTTTTTTTTCTGAGTCTTTGACTTCAATCATTCAATCTGGTTGGTGAATTTACTTCAACCCAGTTTTCTAATTTGTCTCTAAACCCGTTCTTACACACAATTAAGTCAATCTGCCGTGACAATGTCTAGCCTTATTGCGTTCATTTGTCATCTCTAGTCTGCCTGTTTGATTTTAAATGTTGATAAATGAGTCTCTATCCTCTAGGTGCAACATCCGACATGACCTTTTTGGTTGTTGATCTCACCCCCCCAAACAGAAAGTGAAAAAAGGCTCGCATTGAATGGTTCCAACCAGATCTGAAAAATGATAAATTGATGGTCACTTTCATACATGCATCCTTTTAATATTCATATTATATAAAGGCGTATAATATAAGTAAATTTAGTAAGGATTTAATTGGTGAGAATAAAAAGGCAATTAGCATTTCAACAAGGACATCATCTATACTTTGCTGGTGGAGAAAGTTTCTCCCGAAGCATGATTCAGATGTACAACCAATGCATGAGGTGCTTACTAACTGTGGTAGACTTGATCTGTCATAGCTCAATTCTCAACCTATGACCACTATGGGATCAAAGCATCCTTTTTAACTTCCAAACTTCACCCATAAGAATATTAATGGTAAGGTTGATTCTGTAAATATCGAGAGTTTGATGAAATAAAGCAATAGAGCGTTGGCTATTACCTTGTAGAATTAATATGGATCTGCTGTGGTCCTGTTACTTGCTGTTTGGTTTCTTGTCTGATAACTTTATTTATTGTTGCCCTGACTTGCTGCGTCATTGGTGATAGAATCAGCTTCAAAATTTCAGGGGAATTGTTACTATTCTCCTCCCTTCCATCCTTTCTGTTCTTTCTATGGAGAATCGAGTGACATTTTAATCATGTAGCATTGCAAATTGGCAATAAAAACTAAACGAGATTACAGGTTGTAATTTGAATGGGCCCTATGAGTTATGTTATAAATTTGGCTTTGTATTGTTTGATCTTCTGAAATTATTAAGGTCCTCTTCTCCGTTAAGTTGTACGTTCATTCCCTGTTTGTGCATGGTCTTCATTGACATTTTTTTACTGATCAGATCTGGTTGACGATTAGAATTTTGTTTCTTTCGTGTATGGTTTATGTATGCAGGGTACTGGCCATGAACAAAGTATGTACTTCCCTCTTTATTGGCCACCCTTAGCCTCATCTTATGACGAGGTTCAAGTTAGTCGTCCTGAAGTGGTGGATGCAAGAAATCGACCGGTACAAGGGGAGAATCGGAAGCAGCAATTGGAAGAGGATGATTTTATGGTCCCCATATTTTCTCAACCTGGAATTAAGCTTTATAATGGCAAAACTCAGAATAATATGCACGAGGGAAGACGCAAACATCCAGGTTCAGGTCATTCAACAGCGCTTCCAAGTCCCGGTGAAAAAGAAACTGACCACAGAAATAGTGGAGACTTCATCTCTAAGCAGCAAATAAAAAATCTAGATGGAAGAAGTTCAAGAGTATATGATGCCCCTACTAGACACTCATCTGATATATTGATGAGGGAAAAGGATGACTGGAGGAAAGATGCTTGTGCACAGAGTGGATATCCAGATAGGTACAGAGCTATCAATTTAGAGAAAACAGATGCCAATTTACGACAGGACCATGAGGACGATGTATCAGCTATAGATGCTACAAACCTTGTAGGTGTTTCAGAACAGCCATTGGAGTACCCTAGCAAAGAAATTTCCTTGAGGCCGAGTCATGCTGCTCGTGTAGGATGTCATTATGGGGGTGATAACGAGATTGGCAGTGGAATGCAAAGGGTAGAAGAATATAGGACATTCGAGAAAGGAAGTTTAGATAAAGGGGATGATGTCTCTGAAACCTCCATGGAGGATACATCTGAATTGGACATAACTCCTGACGACGTTGTTCGCATAATTGGCCGTAAACATTTTTGGAAAGCTAGAACCGCTATTTCCACGTAAGTATTCTAGTACTTCACTCAGGTTTTACTTTTTCCTCAATGTGGATCAGATTTATTTATGGCTTTATAATAAATCATATGTTGTGAGTTGTGAAAATTTTAGATGCTGGATTAATTTCATACTATCTGCTCTTTCTCTCTACATGTGATCTTTTTATCTTTAGCTTAGTTTGGTAATAAGTGTAGGCAACCAGACATGTATCAAGTGTGTTCTTACATAAATCAATCATCAAGTATTCCCTTTAATGAAATACTCCTTCATCCCAAAATATATTGACAGGACTGACAATTTCAAAATGAAGAAATATACTGAGATATACTTTTTATTACTTTCTTCTACTCTCTTTTTGCATAATTCTAACACAATTTCAGTTACTTAACGACAAATATTAATACCATATCTCTGGATAAAAATTCCCGGTTAAGGGACGGAATAATATATTTGTACTGCTGATTGTTTTATGGGTTTACTGTAAACAAAAGCTTACTATGTCGCTCTTTGTGATAATGTGATCTAAGCGCTTATGAAGTCAGATACTGCGGATGGGTGTGTAAATACCATGATGTGTGTGTGTGTGTGTGTGTGTGGATTTTTCACAAATTTACCTCCCTCTCATAAATGAAATTTGAAAGAAATTCAAATCTCCAAGCAATTTACCAAAAATAAATCTAATCTTTAAATTAGTTTTCTGTATTATGGATGTTGTTTTATGATTACTGTTGAAATGATCTTATATGTTGGATGTATCTTAACTGCTGGGATTGTGGTGAATATTTTTGTGATACTGTAAGCAGAGTGTAAAATTTGCTTTAAGGGAGGGAATATTGATGCCGTGGAGATCATCACTCCCTCCATTATATGGGTTGGCGAACCTTCATAAATTCCTGAAGTGGATCATCATGAAACATCTAGAACAATTTCAATGCATTTGGTGCGAGCCAAGTCTTGAGACGGTCAATCATCCATGATTTTATGTTGTTTGTCTCTGCCTTTGGTGAACATATTATGTGTCTTTCCTTGATAATGCTTTGCAAACCACTAATGCTTTGGTAAGTCCTTGGTGCTCAGTGGGTGTGTATTATGAGGAAAATTAGTTTGCTGGTGAGGTGGCCCAAGTATCTCATAGCTAAATCAAGAAAGAATTCTGTGACAATATGATGAATTTATCATGCTGCAGTTGTAGTAGGTACCAATGGGACAGACCTCCAGTAAAGCTTTATCAAATATGCCTATTGAATACTGATACTTCAAGTGATTGTTGATTAAAGAATTTTGTTGATTCGTGTTGAAAACTAATTTCATCCACTACCTTGTACCCAAGGATCTAAGAATTTGTACCCAAGCTTATAACTTTATGATTGTTTTGTTTCTAATATCGTCTTTCAGAATCTCATTTAGAATAGGAGAAATCTGTGAATTCCTAAGCTTTATGCTGATTTTCATTTTTCTGGGTAAAAATATAAGAGAGTGACTTGTTGAAACATTTGTATATTGAGGTTTGAGTATTATGCGTATCATAAAATTCAGTGCTTGTTAAGATGTGTGCTGGTAGGTCTTTTTTATGCAGTTATGTTGAGCTAAGGTGTGGCTCAGCAAAAGTACATATGTTTGTTATGTGACCTTTAGCTGATTCAATTTTCCTTATTCTTACTCCCTACTTATTTTACTCTTTTCAGTCAACAAAGATTGTTTGCTGTTCAAATATTCGAGTTGCACAGATTGATAAAGGTACTTTAAAAATGCATAAAGACTTGTGAGGATACTACAGTTTTGTGTTTAAACTTCATATATTGAGGCCTTTGGAATATATTGTAGGTACAAAAACTTATTGCAGAATCCCCAGATTTGCTGCTAGAAGGCACTACTTTTGTGGGTAAATCTTCTTTGAAGGATTCTGCTGTTAAGAAATATTCTTCAGAGTTTGCAGTAAAAGCTCTTGCTCGTAAGAGCTCGTCAAAAGATGATTCCCACAAGGCAACTGATAAGATGGAAGGTACAGCTGAGAATGCAGTTACTAAGTCACCTTCGGTCCCAACTCAAAATGCTATCCAGCCTGCGGCTTATCAGCCTTCCTCTGTCAACACAGGCTCATCATTTCCACCAGCTAATATGGATCCGAAAATGAATCCCTGGAGCTTCCATCAACCAGGCCCTCATCAATGGTTGGTGCCTGTGATGTCCCCTTCAGAAGGTCTCGTATACAAGCCATATCCTGCACCTGGATTTACAGGCCCAGTTTGTGGGCCTGAAGGCCTTACACCTGTGATGAATCCGGCTTATGGAATGCCAACTCCACCTTATCTACAAGGGATGGGAATGCCACCAGGCATGCATTTTGGCGGGCAGGGTTACTTTCCTCCATATGGCATGCCCATGATGAGCCCAAGTGTATCAGGCTCAACTGTAGAGCAACTGAACCAGTTCTCAGGTCCAAACCTATATAGTCAAACAGGTCAGCCTGTAGGGACCAGTGCTAATTTTGGCAGCATGCAACATCAGGGTTCGTTCAATATGCCTAGTCAAAAGAATGGAACCATTGCGCCTTCTGCAAGACCCCGCCCCCCCAAGGAACGTGAGCTGCAAGGAAGCACGGCTAGCAGCCCTAGTGAAAGAACACAGGAAACAGGGACAGTTCCGCTCATGGAAGGAAGAGACGCACTTCCTCTTTTTCCTGCGGCTCCAGCCACCCAGATTTCTGAGGGCTCTCCATCTGAAAAGCAAACTAGAGTAATCAGAGTTGTTCCACAAAAATCTACAAGGGAATCAGCTGCACGTATTTTCCAGTCTATACAGGATGAAAGACGGCACTACGAGTACAACTAAACTCACTTTGACTGGGGTTCATGAATACGATGATTCTCGGTGATTTGATCCTCATAATTTTGCAGCTTTAACTGTTCTTATTTTGTAACATATTTCGTATCTTGTAGAATTCTTGTGTCTGATCTGGTTATAGGGTTACTGATGTGTAGATATTGTATTTCCTCGAGTTTACAACTAATCTATGTAAGAGGCTAGAATGTCCCTGGAATTTCTGTTTCTGTTTTGGATTTTATCAAAGAGATATTCACAATGATCTATGTATATGATATGAACACAATTTATCTGTAACAGTCCTAAGCAGCTAAGCTTGATATCTCTTGAAGATTTGAGCCTAGTATAGCCTAGTTATTACACACGGCAACCCGCTCCATTTTCATTCCCCCTCTTTCTTCTTTTCTAGGGTTCCTGATTTTCTCCTCAAAGATTAATACCATTATCAAGTAATTTGAAATCAAAATTATTCAAGCACTTGGAATGACCGGTTTCTTAGGTGAGGTTTTGCCGTTTTGGCGGGCCCTATCTTTTTATTTTTCTTTTTTGTTGGGGAAGGGTGTTTTGGGATTGGTGGTGGCAACCATGCATGAATGATGAAGGGGGCAGAATAAAGAAAATGGTTGATTGTGGTTAAAGTTAACAACTATTTAATGGCTTTAGGCTTATTAAGGTCATGGATGTAAGTTTTTAAAAATAGAGGGCACCAAAGGTAATCGAAATTGGCTATCACACAAAAAATAAAAATAAAAAAAGGGTTACAATGAAAATTCCATGTGTCTTGTGTACGGCTAGTCACATCATGTGATCACTTGTAATTTGTAAAATAACAAAGTAACCTCTATAACACTGATCTGGTAACCCTTATAATACTGACCAAGTAACCCTTATAACAGTGACGAAGTAACTCCTGTAAACCTAAACGAGTAACCCTTATAACACTAACAAAGTAACCTTTACGATGGATGATCACACCGCATGACCAACCATATATAAGACTTTGTGTTGAAAATTTCTTTTTTATATATCATAGTATTTTAATTTTTGTAATCAGTGATTAGATATATAAGCTTAATATATCTAAATATTTCACAAACCCTAAAATAACATATAACCTCGTTCATTCCCCGATTCTATCGCATCACTTTCTTCTCTCATCAATCCAATCCATCTTCTTAATAATCGAGCACTTAATTAGAGAGAATAGATAAATAATACTCCCTTTTTTTTAATAAGCTAGAGTTACTCTTTTCGTCCGTTTTTTTTTTATAATATATTTTTACTCTTTTTTACTTTATCATTTTTCACTCCTTTAATGCTCCCCATTCCCTATAATTAAGTTAATGAAGCTATAGAAAGAATTTATATTTCTCTCAGCTCGTTCTAGTGATATTGCAACAAGGATGGAATTGCGCATTTTAAAGAAATTTATTTTTTTATTAAATTCTAAAATTACATAAAAATAAAATATATAAAAAGTTAATATTATGAATATATATTACGAGAAGAATCAAATTAGAATCCAATATATTTCTCTTAACTTATACTTTTTTTTTTGAAACATCTCTTAACTTATACTTCGTATATCATACAGTAATATATAGTCAAACAAGAGTTATGGATTATGCAAAAAGTCTAATTATTGTAATATTACTAAGGGTTTGTTCTCTTCATATTATTTTTATTTCAGTTCAGTTCAGTTCCAATAAGTTCAGTTCAATTCATTTCTTAATTTCCTTCTCTCATATAATATTCAATTCAGTTCAGCTCCAATAAATTCAGTTCAACTCGGCTCATTTCATTCAATTAGAACAGACCCTAAAATAGGAAGAAGTATTATTTAGAATAGCGCAAGTAGAAAAGAGCACACCAAATACTCCCTTTTCATAGCGCCACCACACTTGCCACTTCATCTCATTTATAAGGGGGGTTTTTCTTTTTAGTCAAACTTTTAAGACCCTGTTCACTTCACCTTAAAAAAATAATATTTCGTAAAATTAATTTTAGATCCATTAAAATAATATCAGTTTAGCAAAAATAATTTCAATTCATTAAAAATAAATTCAATTCAGTAAAAATAATTTTAGTTCAGCAAAAATAATTTTAGTTTAGTAAAATTAATTTCAATTTAGTAAAATTAATTTCAATTCAATAAAAATAATTTAAGTTCAACAAAATTAATTTCAATTCAATACAATTAATTTCAATTCAACAAAAATAAGGTGAAGTGTACAAGGTCTAAACACAGATCAATAATAAAAAGATTCCATTATATGAAGAAAATTTTAGAAGAAATGGAGTATTTGGAAGAAACTAAGGGCATGTTCTCATTGACTGAACTCAGCTGAACTGAACTGAGCTGAACTGAACTGAATTGAGATGAACTGAACTGAACTGAAATGAATATTTTATAAGAGAAGGAAATTAGGAGCTGAACTGAACTGAACTGAACTGAACTGAGCTGAGCTGAACTGAACTGAACTGAATTTCAACGTAAGAGAACAAGCCTTAAGAAAGGAAAGAAAGAAAATTTCAACCAACAACATTAAAAAAAAAAAAAACCTAGCTATACACATTCATCAATCAAGCAGTTTAGGAAAAATAAATTTACTAGCTTTAATTAATCATCAATCAAATATTTTAGGATTCAAAACAATAATTGAAATAATTAATCCAATATACTGAAATTTGACAAAATAATGCTTTAAAATATCATTGAAAACTATTTTTAAAAAATATTCCTTCTGTCACATAATATAGTTTTTGTCTGTTCTTTTTCATGGTATTTAAGAAATAAGAGAAGAAAATGAATGAAATACATTAATAAAAGTGAAAAGTACAATCATAAACAAAAGTTAGAGAGAGAAAGTGGAAAAAAATACGGAGTACATAGCATGTGCAAAATTCAAGAGTAAATTAGAAAGTACAATGAATAAAGTTTTAAAAAGTAAGGGTATAGTGATCATTACATAATATCCAAAAATAGAAATAGGACCAATATTTTGGACTTTCAAAATAGGAAAACAAGAACTATATTATGAGACGGAGGGAGTATCATTAAAAATATATTACCGTTGTTAAAAATTATGTGCAACTTTAGGACTTGACACGGAAACCAATGCAAAATTTGACAATGATGATTAATGTATTCTAGGGGTATATAATTAACGTGGAAAGAAAATATATGGATAATTAATCAACCACCCATTTCCACCACCAAGACCAGCCAACACCACCCACACCACATTCACCAACACTAAACCCCCACGAAACCCACCTATACAAAACCCACTAGCCCCACGAAACCCAGGCACCACCTCGACGAAATCCCACCCCCCACGAAAAACAAAACCCACAAAATCCAAGCCACCATTCTCGCGAAATCCCCCCATAGATCCGACGAAAATTACTGCAAAATCATCACCATCAAATCAACACACCCATCATGAATTGAATTTCTTAAAAGTAGAAGAAAGATAAAGAAGATCTTAAATCCATGAAACCTATTACACATTTTTTGAATGTTGAGGAGAGAGAAAGAAGATTTAAAAAAGATGAAGAGAGATAATGTGTCAAGAATGTGAATCCTTGGTTTGTGTATTACGGTGTAAGGGTATATATATACAACCTAAGATGGGGCTAAACATAAGCCCAATAAGAAGCTAATCAATACAATATAAGCCTAGCTTAACACCCTCCCCCCCCTCAAGTTGGAGCATGCAAATCACAAATGCCCAACTTGCCTAGTAAATACGAAAATTGTCGTTTACCCAAAGCCTTCGTAAAGATATCCGCTAGTTATTCCGTCGTCCGCACATGAGAAGTTTTAATAGTACCATCTTGTACTGCATCACGAATATAATAGCAGTCGACCTCAATGTGTTTGGTACGCTCATGGAACACCGGATTTTGCGCGATGTACAAAGCCGACTGACTATCACAAAATAGGCTCATCGCTCGTGGGTGAGCCACACCCAGACTACCAAGAAGAGCCTTCAACCACTTCAACTCATCAGTAACAGAGGACATAGAACGGAACTCTGCCTCTGCAGAAGATTTAGCAACAGTCTGCTATTTCTTGGTTTTCCAAGAAATCGGAGAACCACCAAGAAAAACTAACCAGCCGGTTATGGATCTCCGTGTCAGAGGACAACTAGCCCAATCCGAATCGCACCAACCTGTCAAATGCAAATCACAGTCTGAACCCAAAAGAATTCCCTGGCCCGGGCAACCCTTCAAGTATCGAACAGCACGAAAAGCAGCATCCCAATGCTCCTGCCGAGGTTGATGCATAAATTGAGCCAAAATGTGAACTGTGTAAGCCAAATCAGGACGAGTGAAAGACAAATAAATCAGACGACCAACAAGCCGTCGATATTGCTCGGGATCATCAAGAAAATCACCCTGTGACTGAGCCAGAGTGTGATTCTGCTCAATTGGAAATCCGGCCGGTTTGGCGCCTAATAATCCTGTTTCTGCAATAATATCAAGAGTATACTTGTGTTGACAGAGAAAAAACTTGTGTTGACAGAGAAAAATCCCTTTGGGACTCCGTGCAACCTCTATGCCAAGAAAATACTTCAACACACCCAAATCTTTCATATGAAAGCAATCACACAGATAAGATTTAAATTCAGAAATGGCAGAAACAAAGTTGCCTGAGATAAAAAAATCATCAACATACACCAGAACACTGAGTTGAATATTCCCTTGTTGCAGAGTAAAAAAGGAATAATCAGAGTACGACTGGATGAAACCGTACCTTTTGAGAGAGGAAGTCAATTTAGCAAACCAACACCGCGGTGCTTGTCGAAGGCCATACAACGATTTCTGTAACCGACACACCAACCCTGGTTTGTGACCATGAAATCCGGGAGGAGGTTTCATATACACTTCTTCATCAAGATCCCCGTGGAGAAATGCATTATGAACGTCCATCTGATGCAATTCCCAATTTTTCGCCGCTGCGACGGCTAAGAAAGCACGCACTGTAACCATCTTTGCCACCGGAGCAAATGTCTCATTATAGTCAATACCTTCTACTTGGTGATTACCAAATATGACTAGACGAGCCTTTAACCTCTCGACAGTTCCATCAGAATTGTACTTGATTTTATAAACCCAACGACATCCAAGAGCTTTCTTTCCCAGAGGTAGAGTTTCCACGACCCAAGTCTGATTACCTTCTAAGGCAGTGATTTCTTTTTGCATTTCTTCTTTCCACCCTGCATCAGTCATTGCTTCCTTGAAGTTACGGGGTTCTGTGCCTGCTAACACAACTGCAAGAAAAGTACGGTGTCGCATGGAAAATTTTTCACAATTAACAAAATGTGCTATAGGATAGGGAGTACCTGAGGAGCAT